GAGAAGTGGACGGGGTGGCGGGAGAGGGAGAGGGATGGGGGGGGGGCGGATTCGGCGGGGGGTAGAAGTCTTTCGTTGGGAGCAGCCAGACGGTGCAGGCGGTCCTCTTGGATTTGAAGAAGGGACCCACGGACGAGGATATNGTCCTCTTGGATTTGAAGAAGGGACCCACGGACGAGGATATACAAGTGTTGTATGCCGACGTAACGAAGAAGCTCGGGCAAGCCGCGAGTATTTTGTCTGATAAGTTTTCACCGATAGTCGCCGTAGCCCTCGTGGACCAATTTCTGGCGACGGTCAATGTGCAAGCAGGCGGGGCAGGTGCTACAACGACGGGAGGCCGGGGGGCGGCTCTCTTCATGGCCAACCCTGGTTCTGTTCGCCTGTCCGCTAGGACAAGTAATAATTGATGGCGTGTTGCTGCAGAAAAATTCACCAGAGGGGGTAGCAAGAGAGCCGCGACTTCGGGGTCCCAACCCTAGTTTCGTTTTTGCATACTCGAAGTACATACCGTAGCGGTACGCCGCCCTACATTTGCGACGTCACCGGTGCATGTGCCTGTACCATGTGTTGTCCCCCCCCCCACCCAGCGGCCGGTTAAGGCTCGGTGTGATGTTTCATTTTCGCTTCCGCGTTATTGTGCCGATCGCCGTCTGTGATGTTATCGTCCCGAGCCATTTGTTTTGTGGTTGTATTTGTATGTCTGTTTTGTTGCTGCGGTTTAGCGTTCGATGGGACCATCCTGTTCCTGTCCTGTTTTTCTGCCTTTTGTTCGATTTCCTTTTTCTCTCATTCTTCGTCTGTCCCTTTTTTGGCCGTGTTGGATCGTCTCCAAGGTCGTTTTTATTGTTTGAGTCAGTCTATCATCAAATCGCGCTTGGATATTTATTTTCTGGGTCTCAATTTCTGCGTCTGTGGTTGTCGACCTGTATGTTCTGAGCAGGTGGTGCGAACGAAACGATGCCTGCAGATTCTGTGCCTGCAGATGATGTTGTCGTTCTGCCCATGTCCCTGTGTGCGCCCGTGTACCAACGCAGTGGTGTTTCCGTGGTTTCCTTGGTTTGACGTCGGGGTCAGAATATTCAGTAATTTACTTTTGAAGTAAAGGGTGCCGTTTGTTCGGGGAAATATCGATAGTTGTTGTAGCCACGACGACGTTGGATCGGGCGTGAACGTCAACGAATTTGACCGCAAGAACGTGACCGCAGGAACGTGACCGCAGTAGACTGAATTACGCAACCTACAACGCGTTCTTCTTGCATGAGTTGGACTGCTGCGGGTACACAATAGAAGTGTGTGGGATGACGGCAGACACATTCATCCCACAGCCCGACTGTCCGCCCTACATTTTGGGAATAAATATCTTTCTTTTGAGTTCACGCCCACGGGTGTATCTTGAAATGCAGATCATGATCAAGGATCCGACAGCGCTTACTGACGAAGTACAGCGAACAAGAGGCACTAACGACTAAACCCTACCCGAACCCTGCCCGCACCGACATCCTACAATCCTCTTGGCCCCGTCCAAGTGTCCCCACTGCCTACTCGTCCTCTACGCTCTCTCCCGGAAGCGGGTGGATTTCTCTGTGCACCAGAGCCATGCAGGATAATATTCCTCGTCCCTTGCACCATCGCGTCCTTCTCCTCTGCGGCCTAGCGCCTCCTAGGTATCCCCAGCGGCGGGTGGGTCGTGCGGGCCGCTGCTGCCACCTTCAGACGGCTCTCCGCCGCGTGATGAACAGCTAGCTGTTGCTTCCTTTGTAGGAGGAGGAGGAGAACCACTTCGGGGACGCCCTGGCTGGTTTCCCGGGGTTTCCACCGGGATGGATGTTTGGACTGTGGTTCTCTCTGACAATCCATCGATTGTAAATAGGCGCTCCCGGAATTTCATGGTGTTCGTATAGGATTTTCAAGGCATTTCTGAGGGGGGGATGATAACTCTTTGAATATTTCGGCAAACACGAACTCAAAACATCCCGCATCTCCTTTTTTTTGCTTTGTATCGGCGGGGCTTGAGTAAGAACGAAGATACTCATGAAAAAAAAAAAGTGTTGATATGTGTATATATGGCGCCTTCCTGGGGCGGGACAGGAAATGTGGCCCATGCGCACCGGCTTGTTTCCCATGTTTGTTTGAGTACTTCAATCGACTGGAGGCCCTTTTTTCTGTACAATGACCCCACGATACCCACGCACGTTGAACTCTTCATTTTTGCCACTACTGAATGAACGTTATACGCACGGCCATACATACTGTTGTAGCACACAGAGAACCCGCCAACGAAAAAGGGGGAACAAAACAATACACCATGCACTGCAACAACACCACTGACAACAACACGCAGACAGATAATAACCTATTGATATACCCATGTCGACATATTACGTACGTGCGCTTCAACACCACACGACACAGAATAAACGTGTACATCACTTAGGGTTAATGTACTCTGACGGGGCCGACTTGCGGTGAGCAATATAATAAAGGTGTCCCTCTTCTGTACTGCTTCCGCGCCCTGGAGTCCGTCGCGGTACACCTCGTTGAAGTTGGCCACCGTCCTGCAGAACTTTTGCACAATTGCTAGACTCAAGCGGTCTTCGGCCACCGCGTAGCTCTTAGAAACATTGGTCCGCAAGCACGCGATAGTGTACTTGCAGTGCTGCCGGACCCAATACTTGGATCTACCCCACACTAGCTCTATCGGGTTGATCTCGCAGTGGAACTTGGGGAGCATGATTGCCACTCCTTCATGGCGCATCTCTAAGACCACTAGGCTAGGCTCTACGCTCGCGAAGTCCTCCTGCGTACCCAATACCACCGGCATACACAACGCTGGGTCATACTTCTGTTGGCCTTTCTTGGTTCCTTTCATGCTCATGTTCGTGTTCCAGAGCCCCCTCTCAAACAAAACTTGCTTTAGCCCCTTGAGCTTGCCAATGTGATCCTCGGCACCCGGGTCGTAGAAAGGACTCTCGCCCTCCTGAAAGGTAAGGTACTGCACCGTCCCTTTCTTGAGAGTGGGCGTGTCTGCCAGTAGGGTCGTAGCGTCCTGGGCAGCTAACTGTTTACCCTTCCTCACCCCCCCGTACCCGGCGTTCATGCGAGTTGCGCTCGGTGCCCCGTCTTCGACACAGTCGTGGCAAGATGACCAGTCGAAAAAGCAGATGGGCTTGTGCATCGGATACGTAACCGCCAAGAGGTCCAATACATCTGCCATGTGTTCAACCATCTTCGCGCCCGTCCAGTAGCCGTCCATGCTCTTGCCGTACTCGAACCTGTGGTAGGTCCAGCACTTGCCGTCTTCGTCCTTTTAGGGCTTGTCGATGTTACGATATGTCTCTGGCTTGGTCGGGTCACCTGCCGCGTGTTCGGTTGCCGAAGTATCGCACCGCTTATGCCGCAAGGCTTGCGCCTTGTCGATATCAGCCTGGTCATCCGCAACGAACCCCACGTTGTCGACGATGGTGCCAGAGCATAATGCCTTGACCGTCTCCCTTTTTCTTGAGCGCGTGATAGTTGGGGGCACCCACGCGAAACGCTGGCCGTCGTTGGCCCTGTAGATGCACTCGTCCTGGTAGCAGAAGATCGCTCTCCTGCCGTCAGAGTATGTTTTTTGCTGGTGACCCTCTCGCGGAGATGCTGAGGAAGTTCGGAGAGGGTCTCCTTGAAGGCATGCACGCAAACCCAACCACGCCCATCCTCTTGCCTGTCCTGCTCTTGCACTTGCACCTCCCAGGACCGCGCCTCGTCCGAAGTCGCCTCGATCCAGATCTCCATGTAATCGCGGTGCTCAAAGTACGCCGGGAGGAACTTCTCGACCCGGTACGCGAGCACGTCTTCGCGGTCATGGCCGTCAAAGTACAGGCCCGACTTGCGATCGCGGTACTCGCACCCCAGCTTGTGCAGCCAGGAGCGCGCCGTGCGAACGGTCACCGAGTTCGACACCACCATCTCTCCTGATGCCGTTTCAGTCGTCGTCTTGGTGACAGGAGCGTGCTTGAAGGGGTCGTAGTCGCACGTTTTGGTGTCTGCT